TACGGACATTTACAAATAGGCAATATTTCTGGTACTATATGTTTAAATCATCTCAAGTGATTGAAACTTAAAATGACAGCTAAGCAGAAACTTTTTTCCACTTATGATAGGCGATCTACTCGTAGTACCAGCCAATGATCCTGTTTCGGATTTTTTTCTCCGATTTCTAAAGCTGGTTGACGTTTTCTTAAATTATAGTTTCAGCAATGATGAAATTACCTTACTACAGAAATTGATCGAACAACATAAGAATACATAACATCAATGCAAATTTTTTTTTTCTACTAGGTGAAAAAATCTCGAAAGACGAAGGACGGCTCTATCTGCCTTTTTTCCCCGACAGTGGGGGAGCGTGACCCCTACCCTAAAAAATCACCTAAATTTTGAACGGACAAAACTCGTCCTAAAGACCAACTATTACCTCCGCGTTAACTTGGTTTTTCTGTGCAGGAATTAAATACCTTCCATAAGGAAATTGGTATTTCATGTTTAATCGAATGGTCTTGTTCGTTTAAGTCTTTCTGTCATAACGCCATTGTCTAGCAGCCGAGCTGCTACCATATTTACATGCTGTTCTAGACGAGCCCTATGCTTTGTAGCACAACTCCTAATTTCATCCACAACCAAAAGAATTCCTAAGTCCCTGTGGATATCACTGTTACGTATATACCATGGCGCATTTACCGTGCCCCGTAGAACTTTATTCTGAAAGGTTTGAATTTTGTTAATGTGAGTCTTCTTGGCACAACCCCACAGCTGAATGCCATATCGCCATATTGGTTTAATGATTTGTCTATAAATACGACCTAGGAGCCAATAATTTTCTCTATATTTATTTTCTAATTCTATGTATTTCTTCTTTATATGCTTTTTCCACTTTAGCTTGACATCTAAAGTAATTCCTAGGTATTTTGTTGAGTTATGGATCGCTACATTAGTTCCATTTACGTTAATTTGTGGTGGATTCACTATTTTCCGATTAGTGAAGTTTATGTGAACCGATTTTGCTTCATTCAACTTCACCCTCCAATCTCTAGTCCACTGGCTTATTTTGTTAATTGCCTACTGTAATTTTTTGGTTGAATCATCAGTGTTCGCTCCTACTGCCAATATTGCAGTATCGTCAGCAAAAGTGGCTATCGTAGCATTTTCTATTTGTGGCAAATCACTCGTGTAAAGCAGGTACAACGTTGGGCCCAATATACTGCCTTTATTTCTCTTAGCGTGAAGTATTCAGCATCTTGTTTAATTCTAAATAATCTATCATCTAAGTAAGATTTCAAAATTTCTACAAATGACGATGGTAACATTTGCCCTAACTTAAGTATAAGGCCCCTGTACCACACCTTATCGAATGCCTGTGCTACGTCTAGAAACATAGAAGAACAGATTTCCTTATTTTCTAAGCTGTTTTCTATAATATTAGTTATTCTATGGACCTGGTCTATTGTAGAATTGTTTTTTCTAAAACCAAATTGATGTTTCGGTATTAGGCCCCTATTTTCTATTATTGGTTTCAATCTCCTTAGTAGCAGCCTTTCAAAAAGCTTAGATATCATTGGTAACAGTGAAATGGGCCTGTAAGACTTTGTTTCCCTCAAGGATTTCCCGGGTTTGGGCACCATAATTACTTCCGTGACTTTCCAAGCACAAGGAACATATCTTAAATCTATAGCTGCATTCATGATTCTCGTCAGATGTGCCAATGCCTTGTCCGGTAGCCCTCTCAGTACTTCCGCAGTAATAAGATCAAAACCTGGCGAGTTTTTTAACTTCAGGGATCCTATCTCCTCCGCAACTTCTCATTGAGTAAGTGGAGCTATGCTGCCTGCTCCATTTGCGATAGATTCTACCTATCTAGAACTTACATCTGATGTTATTCCGTTTGGCGTGAATATATCCAAGTGATCAACAAACAATTCGGCCTTCTCTATATTGCTCCTCGCCATTTGCTTTCATCAGTGGCGGAGCGTACCTAATCCGTCTCTCTTTGCTCTTTGCCGCCTTCCATAAGGAATAATTTGTTTCCTGCGTAGCTGACAAATTCTTTATATAATTTTCGTATGTTGCCAATTTAAATTCTTGGATTTTTCTTTTAAGCACCTGGGAAAGTCTGTTTAAAACAGTTTTATCATCAGGGTGACGCGAACGTTGCCATCTACGTCTGGCCCTTCTCTTTTCACCTACTAAATCAGTTATTTCTCGAGGATAGCTATTTGCTGTCAGTTTGTACTTTGACATTTTTGTATTGTTCCATGCAGCTCTTTGTATGATTTTAATAAATCCTTCTAACTCCACATCTAATTGATCTCTTGATTGTTTATTAATATTAAGGTCAATATTGTTTATTATTTCGTATCTAAAGCTCACCCAATCTGTAGTGCTATTTGTTAAATTGGGCCTAAATAATGTTTTAGCTATTTTTGCACTTAGTTTTAATATGACAGCGGAGTGATCCGAATTAAAATCATTTTTTGCAATTCTTTTACAACCAAACAGCCTCGATAGCTAGCAGGGTGTGCCTCATTGCAGTTCACACATTGGGACTGAAAATTGTCCTTCTGTCATATGATTACCAGCACATTTTACACATCTAGCCTCTCTTTGGCAAAACTTTTATGTATGTCCAAATCTCTGACATCTCTTGCATTGAGGAATGAATTTGCTGCTTCTAAGAGCTTCAATTTTTACTCTCATGTGCTGTAAGTATTCTATTTTATAGATCCTGGTTATCTCTTCCGAATGGTCAAAAGATAACATAAAGAGCGGAAGTTTTACTGAAATGTATTTTCCATTTTCCTTCTTCCTTTTGATTTTATTTACAACATCTAGACATTTAAAGCCTTTGCTAATAAACTCTTTTTTTACATCCTCTGGCTTACACGATTAATGGGTTTCTAGCCAAAACTTTAACTGACGTCGTCAGTTTATTCTCATACGTGTGCCACTCCAGTGTAGCCTTATTTATAGCTTTTGTTAGTAATCTGTATTCATTTTCATTTTCCACATTTATTTTTAATTGGTCGTTATTCGTCATATTGACCTTAACGTTTGCTCTTTCTTCTTTTAATATGTTAACTATGTGGGAGTAGTTCTTAATTTGCTCAATGTAACCGGAGGAGGCTTGTGCTTTTTTGGATTTTCAGTCTTCATTTTAGGGCTGGTTTCATTATTTTTTTTTAACTGTCCTCTCTAAATTTATTTCAGGAGACTTTTCCATTTTTCGCTTCTTTGCATTATTCGGTTTTAGGATCCAGTCAGTTTCTCTTGCCAGTTATTCCTCGTCGGTTTCATATACGATAACTTCCGCATCTTTGTTTTTCTTTTCTGTTGATGCAGATTTTATTTGATTTTTAAAATCTACATTCTCTGCCTGTAATTTGCAGAACTCGTTTTGTAGAGTACCTTTGCACCTTACAAAGACTCTCCAACTCGGTTATTCTCGAGTTCTGAGAATCCAATTTATTCTCCTGTATGAGATGCCTTTTCATATTACCCTCTTGGGTTTTAATTTTTTTGTCTTCCACAAACTTATTAGACTTTTTCTCAGAGTTATCATCCTTAACTCTGTCCTTTTTCTCTGCAATCACCAATGGGGGTGATCGTATGACCCCCGATCTCCTTCTAAATGGGTCCATCAACGCTGATCTACTATGCAACAAGTGGTCTCCCCCAGAATCCATGAGACCAGCCTCCGAAGAGTGTGGATTTTCCAGCATGACTGGATTACCACCTGGGGTAATCCAGACCAGAGAGCCGCTCATTGTGAGTCCACCGCGTCTGGATTTTCATTTGGATTTTAGTGCACTCTTACCACAAGCATACCTTACTGCGGATATTTCGTAGCCCAATCCGCCGGGTAACATAATGCATATGTAAAACTTTTTGATGACAACCTAAAGCCAAAACTCCATCTTCTAATACATTATGCGACTGTAATACGAAATTCTGGACCTATAAAAAGTTTTTGGACATTTCGATATGAGGCAAAGCACAGAGAAATCAAAACCTATGCAAGTTCTATAACTTCGAGAAAGAATATTGCTAAAGTTTTCTCACTATCTTCTAAAATTGCAAGAGAATATATGTAATTACGAAGACAAGAACATTATTTAAAACACAAAATTAAATTTGTTAAAATCTAAGCTGAACATTTCTCCCTATGGGATAATAGCCTTAAAAAAATAATTTACAAAGGAACTTTATACAAACAAAGTTATATTTTAACGTTGTATAATATTAATCTATCTGTAATAGAAATCAAAGAAATATTTTTGGATACAAAAACTTCAAAAATATATTTACTGCTGGATGAGATACTTGTGAAATCTTTTATTCCACACCTTCATGCGTACGAATTTGACGAAGACAAGACTATAATTTCTGAAAATTTATTAATTGATATAAACAAGTTTATCACTTCCCCTATCAACATCCATCGCACCATTCAAGGGAAATTAATAATACGACTACGTGAACATTTTTAAAATAAATACCGTCCCAAATATATACATGTATCCAACAAAATTCATAGTATTTTTACATTTTTTAACAGCAGCCAACTTGCAAAATGCAAAATTTACAATATGAACTAATTGAGAGTTTTCCAAATGAAGTCTATGTTATCAACTCAGAGGCTCGTGCATCAATTAGTTTTCCTAAACTAATTGTAAGTATTTTTTTTAGTTTTAAAAAAATATTTATATTCATATTCACTTTTTAAATTATAGAAGAATGTATTGATCTAAATATTTTGAAAAAATTGAAAAAACATCATATAAAGCGGCTGGTCAAAAAGTATCAAATTGCATTAGGTATATTGTTTGAGGAGAATTTAAACGCATATGAAATTGCTACCGAAACTTCTACAGGTGAATCAGTTCCTGATATCAACACAAATTTGAGGGTCAAAAGTATTTTGAATGCATCCTCACAAGGCCACACTATAATGGAGATGTATGAAAATAATAATACTTTGAAATTAAACGAAGTTTCGCGAGCTATAATTGTTAATTTGATTATATCACATATGATTCAAAAAGACGTACGCATGAGTACAGTTTTAGCTAAGGAAATTGGAGAGGAAATTGTAAAAATATTTCCACAAGAATTTCTGGTAATTAATAAAAAATCATATTTAATTGATAAGAATTTTTTTATACATAATAATTTCATGAACCCGTTTTGCATACTTAAGGGATACTATTTTATGACAGTCCCAGGCAAAAAACCATAACGAAAAATTTATGACAAGCATAGAGTTCTAAGAAATGGTGGCATAATACCAAGACGAAACCGTTATACCTTTGAAAATGTGTGGAAAGCATTGAAAATATTGGTAAAAAAATCTGAGAAAAACTCTTATAATATTTAAAGGAGCTTTTAAATATGGATATATTTTTCATGTAGGTGAATTTATGGAAGAGCCAATAAATATTGACCAACATTTGGAAATTATATTTTCCAATAATTGTACATGGGGCTACCTTGAATACCATTGGAATGAAACGAAAAAAATTCAAATAAAGGAAATTTTGAAGTCGAACTCAGCGCAAGAAATATTAAACAGATGGAACCAATATAAGAATTCTATGTGGTATATATTGGTGAGTCTAATATCAATAATAAATGCGATCGGTTTTGCAAAAATCTCTGATTTTTCTTTACAGAACTGATTTTAAAGAACTTCATCCACAGGCTAATGATCTTTCCATTTTCAACATAGAAGAATTTGAAGGAAAAACACTGGATATTTTCGAAGAAAAACTAAAAGATCCTACTTGTCTGAATGTTGTAAAGCAGATTAAAGAAGCCAAGTATCTAAACGAAAGTAATGTATAAATTTTTTCTTAGATTTTCATAAGCAACATAATTAAAGTTGAATATATTTTAGATGGACGTTACTTTTATTGCCAGCACCAAAAGTAACTGAACTTGATAACAAAGTAAAGAGTTATGTACGACGTACCATAAAGGATTCGCAGTCCACTTTGATATCATATGTTTCAACTCCTGGAGAAATGGAGGAGATGCTCCTTAAGATAAAACAAAAAAAAGTTGCTGTTCAACTTCTAATTTTTATCATAGGAACATTATTGAAACCAATCGATATTTTTGTTTACTTTGACGATTTAAAATACAAAATGACTTCTGTGGCAACTGCATTAGATATTTGCTTCAACATTTTTAATTTATTCAACTTGGAATATCCAAAAGAATGTTATTTAGTTTGGCTTTTTATATAAAAATATTTTTATAGTTTAAAAACTAAATATGACAAAGCAAGTATTCATGTTAATTGTCTTATTAATGATCTAAAATGAGTATAATTTAATTTATATTTTCAAGACTTATAAGTAGTTTATAAAGAATATTAAAAAATTCTACATACATTATGTAAAAAATATTTGCTGCGAAATATTTATATGAAATATAAAAATAAAAAATGTTTGATTAAGATATGATTTATTTAAGAAATATTTTATTAAAAATGAAATAAGAATAATAATTTTATTTTGATTTTCTACAATAAAATATTTATGTGTATATTATAAATTAGTTAATAACTTTCAAATGAAATTAAATTTTTGATACTTTAATAAACAGTTTTTTTACTTTGACTTTTCTTAATAAGTTGACAAAATTTGTATTAAGTAGATAAGATACCATTTTTGAGAAAGACATGTTAAAGTAACTTTTGTTTCAATTGAATATAATTTTCATTATATTATTAAGAAATTTAATTAAATCTAATTTGCTTTTTTAAATTGAAAAATGAATTACTAAATTTTTGAAACATGCTACACAAAGTTTGTTATTGATAAAAACTGAAAAGTTAAAGTGTTCTACACTTTTGGTAATTCAGTTTTAGCTTTCGTAGAAAGTAATTAAATTTAATTAAGATATTTTTTAACAATATGATGAAAATAATATTCAATATGAAAAACTAAATTTGAATAAAATGTTTGTTAAAATAATCGAATATTAGTCATATTGACGAAATTAGGGCCTCTGAGGGATTTCGTCATTAAGAAGAAAATGTAATCGTAATGACGAAATTACGATTTAGTTACTATGAAGAAATTTTCATCTCACTGACAAAAAAATCAGATGGAAAAACTAATATTCATTATGAAGAAATTTTCTTCCCATTGAATAAAACTACGGTGAATAGTCATCAATATGACAACACTTTCGTCATCAGAAATACATGTTTTATTTAAGGACCAAATAACTACAGTTTCGTCACGACAATATACGATTTCATAGTATATACGAAAGAATTATATTTTTGGCCTTAAATTCAATAAAAGGTTGGAAGGAGTTAAAGGTAAAGATTTGTGTATTAATATTGTTTGGGTAGTGGTCATTTATTATTCAAGTGTCCCAGTAAACAAGCATGTCAACAATGTAAGCGTTAGCATCACACATTTCTGTATCATCAATCTAACAATGATTCAAATTTACATAATGGTGCTGCAAAGCAGTCAAAATTATCAGTCAACAATTTAGTTGTGCAACAACACTGCTTAAACTTTCAAAGTCTTCCTTTCGTTCCAATGTCTAATGCTAATCCAAAACTCGAAGTTTTTTCGTAAATGGAAAGCATGTAGCTAAAAGTATGTTAACTACCGCTTTGGCAAAACTTGTTTCCCTAGAGGAAAGAAAAATAACTGCGTGAGCCTTAATATAGCCTCAAGGAAAGAGAAATAACTGCGTGAGCCTCAAGGTTCGCGAGCTACTTTTGTCATTGAACATATAATACAAACATTAAAATTAAAGATAACAACCATTCATGCAACTATTAATGGAGTTGGCGATAATTCAAACTTCAAGTGCTAATTTTATTTTGAAATCGCTAATACCTAATTTCAGTTTCGAGATTGAAGTCAATGCATTAATTTTAAAAATTCCAACCAGTATTGTACCTAAAAGAAATATTAAGACTGCCAATCGGACTCATTTTCGCGATATATAATTGGCTGATCCTTATTTTTACCAATCACAAAAAATCGGTATGCTTATTGGTGCAGACATGCATTCCCAAATAATTATAGAAGGTTTAATGAAGGGAGAAACTGGTTCTCCTGTCGCTCAAAAGACAACGCTTGGATGGCTTGGACACACGGTCTATTCAAAAACATAACTAATATGAGTACAGTCCTCTAATTACAGGCGTTTTCGAAAATCGAATAATTGAATACTGAATCACCTTGTATACTAAAAAAGAAGCAATATGTGAAAAATTATGCGAAAAAACAACAAAACGACTAGAAACTGGCCAATATGAAGTCGAACATCCTTTAAGATCGTATACTGATAATATCAATCTTGGAAAATTTAGAGATATTGCAGTGAAAATATTATTTCAAATGAAAAAAAAACGAACTAAAGGTGAGAAATTAATCTACCGAAGCCGAGCATGACAAAAAAAATACAGGAAGCAAGTAATAATATAAGTAAATGGACAAATAAATGAAAATAAAGCTAAATGAAAGCAAATTTGTTCATGTAAATTTCACAATCAAACCCACTAAAACTAAAATTGAATTAAATAAAATGAAATTAATTATCAATCGAACAAGTAAAGAAGAAAAGAACAGAATTACAAAACAAATATAGGGAAAACTATTGGCTCCTAGGGCGAATGTCTTGATTGTAACATACAATAAGCTGTTGATACATAACCAAATGATAAAGCGCATATGACCGTATGGTTTGCAGCTATGAAGTTGTGCCAAGCAAACACACATCAACTAAATACCATGGTACGTACGCAATAGTGACATTCATAGGGATACGGGTTTCCCCCTAAGTAAGTGAAGAAATGAGAAACAATGCCATGAACCATAGCGTGCGTTTCGAATAGTATGCAAATGCCGAGACCTCTTGATTTAAACGGTTTGAACAAAAAGACTGAAGCGAACGAGATCTTTTGATTTAGTCTAAAATGCTATACAGCACTTTCATTTCTTCCATCACGAAATTTACACGCAAAAATAATTTATCAGCGGTTTTTCATACGCATTATTTATATATAGCGGGTTTTGCATCAAAAAAAGCTTAGTTTCAATTATAGTTAATCAATTAATTGCTTCTGTAATAATAATAGCTCAATGCTGCATGTTAGCTTTGTTTGTTTGTCAGTCACACTTTTGATGACATTTTTGAATTACTCTAACATGTCTTTAGACACAGCTCTTCGTCGGGAAGCTGTGAGTGACTTTTTTGAGTGGTATTTTTGAGGGCCTTTTTTAAGGGATTTTTTAAGTAATTTTTTAGATGATTTTTTCAAGTAATTTTTTTGAGTGATTTTCTTGATGTCAATTTTTATCAACCGTATTGTTTATACATTAGGTAGGTCATGTGAAGGCGACAAATTTTGCATACAGGTTGCTAAAAATAGTTTATTTACACTTCCCTACTATGGAGAAGCGCATTCCCACCGAAAACTCGATATGCAAAATTTGTTGCCATCACATAACCTACCTATTGTATACACAATACGGTCGGTAATAATTAATAAATAGAAATATAAAAAAATATAACAATCAAATGTCATAATAAAACCCAGTGCCATATTACTCGTATTTTTGTTTTTTTGGGTCGCTGACACCAATTTCTTTTTGTGGGTTTAAAAGGTTTTTGAAAAAAGTAATTAAGACAACTTCCTCACAAAACTTGTGCTCTCAAAGTGAAAACACGATGGTGATTTACAAATCAAAACAAATCATAATCATAAAAATAAAATACTGTAAAAAATTGTGCTGTGGATTACTAATTTTATTTTAAGTAAATATTGAATAAATATTAATTTATTTTCACAACTTAACTTTTTACAGTATTTTATTTTTATTGTGGCGTTCTTTTCCATGGATTACTATACTTTCGCGCCCTACTCATGGGACCAGAAATGGATGAAAAAAAGGAACAATAATAAAAACGATGACAACAAGAACAACAAAAAAAGCAAGGAAAAAACCGGTGTTGAAAATAATCGGCGCTCCAGGGTCCTCAGAACCTAAGCTTGTTTCTACCGACGCAGAAGAAAAACTTCTTCCTATGCCAGTGGAAGAAACCACAGCAAATCCGGTGGAGACACATAAGCGCAATGCCATGGGGCATGTTATCCAAGCGTAATAGAGGTTGAAGATCAAGGAAAAAAACACTATTTCACTGGTGCTCTAAGAGAAATGTTGCGGCGTATATCAGGGAAGACTTGTTCCCTTCATGGACGAAATGGACAAGGTTGCCGACTTGCATCTTTAATTTAATATCGTCGAAAAGAGAAGGATAGATATCCGCAACAACCGACACGGAGGTAGTAAAATTAAATTTCTTATAAATCTGTAGTAAAATTAAACCTTGAGACTGATGTAACATATCTGCATTGGATGTAGAGAATATGCCCAGACAGCATATCTCTACCTACGCCCCACAGAATGGGACAAACACCCCTCTCTCCTGGAAAAAGTTTGTCGCCGGAATAGAGAAACAAAATCCTAGTTCTAAAATGGGCTTCTGTATTAGAGGGTTATCCTTATGGACAAGGAAAAAGAGGAGTAAATGCTCCATTACCTTCTCCGTAAACGGTCATACTTTGGAAGACCTACGGAAAACGATGTTCCATTTTTTCCTCACGAAAAACTGTTTTGGTAAAGAGAAAAATAACATGGGAGTGATAGCGGTAATGCAGGTTCGTAGGTGCTGAAAACATAGCAACGGTAACGCGCACTTCAGAGGAAGCAAAAGAGCGTGAGCTCGTTAAGGAGCTAGAAATCGCTCTAAAGGTTGGTGTTGCGAAAACTGAGGCTCCCACGTCAAAAAAAGAGGAAGTGAAACAGGCCGAGCAAAAGTTCACTGATGCGAAAGTGAGGAAGGCCGAAACGTGCAAAAAGCTCTTAAGAAAGCCTTTGTCTAAAGGATCAAATTCCAAAAACCAAAAAAAATTATGTGGCTCGGAGGTGCATGTATTTCGAACTGAATTGTCGTACAATACTAGATTCCGTCCTAGACCCCATATTTACTTA